ACCCCTTTTTAAAACCTGTACCATTTCAATATTTTAATACACTTTTCCACACTATTCCAAGGGAGATATGAAAGATTAAAAATCCAGTTAATCGTAACAGTGGTTCTTACCAAGCATAAAGCTATTTGTAAACAGATGAATGCTCAACCAACTTTTCAATTTGCATCTTGATATTGGTCATAGTGCAGTTGCTGGCAAAGAAAATCTAATAAAGTTTTTAAAATCATAAGATAAAAACAACTTCTACCATTAAATGAGTGTTGGCTATGGTCCAGGCAATTTACATAGGTTATCTCCCAACTTCACCACAACCCTGAACTAATGAACTCTTAGCTCCTTTTTATTAATGCATAAAGACAATTTCAGATACCTTAAGAAATTTGCTGACATTCCTAAGACTAGCCAGTTTCTGGTTCTAAACCCAGGTGAACCTGTGCATTCTTTACTATGCCACACTGATTACTCCAGTACAGCAGAAAACAGAATGGAAGGGAAGAGATTGTCACAAGGAACTGGTTCTCCACCTTATCTCTCTCTCCATGCAATATATATATATGAGAGATTTGACATACTCCTCCAGCAGTAATGGAGCAGGACTGAAGAGAAAATGAAGGACACTTGAAGAGACCTGTTAGGAAGGCTGATCCCATATCCAATGGACCTACCACCTTCTCTACAAAAACACTGCTCCTGACACAGGAAAAATACAACTCTCGATGACCAGATGTCAAATGTAAGGAGCTTGTGGTCTCACAACATTGAATAATAAAGTCATGAACCAAAAGAGGAAGTTAGAAGAGTTTTATTGAAAATAAGTGGAAGAAGAGTAGCTCTTGAATTTCCAGGAGGGGTCCCAAATGGGTGGCCCCTGAGGCTCTTTCTCAAGGGTAATTTATACAGCAAAATTACAACCTGGATATAATGTGGGCCAGACTACAACAGTATAGGATTACAAGTACAGCTAATATCGATCCAATAGGGAAATGAGTCACATAGCAAGGGTACATGGAAAGAATAGGGGCATTTTGGTGAAAGGGAAGTGAGCATAAGTCTGGATGTTCTGGTTACCTAACAATGTGCCTGATATCAATCTGGCGTACTGGACCAGGTGGCGGTTATTACAGTATTATCTCAAATTTATGATTATCTTGCAGGCTTGGCTAATGCATCTTCATCCTTGAGGTCTGGCTCTCTTTAGATTTGCTCTAGTCACAATTCTGATTTCTCTATTTGTGTGTGTGTGTGCTAACTTCCTTGAGGGCCCAATCTATCTCTGAGCGTGTATTAATTTTTATTGAACTTAGCAGCCTATAATATTATCACCACTATCACTGAACACCATAGGATGGTCTTCGTTGGCAAGGTCTTCAAATCTCAAAAAAAAAAAAAAAAAGTCCTGTAGAATAATAAGCCTTGAATTTGCTTTTAAAAACAGGTTCTCAAATATCCATGCAGACTACCTCATACAACACATATATCCCACCACATCTCTCTTTGAGAATTCATGTGTGGAAGCACTGACAGTTCCAGATAAAAATAAATTTAAAAATCAATTTGATTTCACTCAGCTTTCCCAACTTCTACTGGGTGGTAAAAACACCCCCACCAAGTGCGCACACACACACTCCTGTATTATCCATTGCACTTTCCCAGAACTGATGTTCAGAGGAACACACTAGGAACCTACTCAAGAACAAGATGCTCTCTGTAACTTAATCTTCCCATGCCACTACCCAAGAGGTGGAGCTAGGACCACAGAAGAAATCTCTTGGCCTTCTTTGCCCTGAGCAGGGGCTTTCCTGGTAATAAGGTATTTGTATGTGATGTTACGTACCCCATACAAGAAATGCCACAGTCTAACACTGTTCCATCATGAGTGAGGTAAAAGTGATAGAGTTTTCAGTTTCCTGTCAGCCTAAGTAGAGGAAGTCAAATACAATTTCAAGGCATTAGTGCCAATTTGGTGCAGAAGAGCAGTGGACTCCAAGGGGGCAGACCTAACAGCAGATTCCAGGGGGAAAAAGTCCACTCCTGTCCTCTGACAGTTGCAATGAAAGTCTTAATTACAATACTACTGTAGGGGAAAACTGTTTTATAAATGCCATTACAGTCTGATTGCAGAAATCTTTTCATCTAAAAACTAATTAAACCATTATTTCCTTTCGACTGTAATAGTGTAAGTTTTTCATTTATGAAAACAGCTATACAATCCTTCCTTACATTTAGAGAGCATCTCTTATATCTTTGGGCCAGAATGATTTTAGAAATTAGAAACATTGTGAAGAAGAGAACAGAAATTTAAATATATAAACACTATCATGATGCAGACAAAAGCACAATGAATTACTTTTGCTGAAATGCAGAAACATAATGGGTTTATGTATATCTACATAGGCCTCCTTGAATTCTTTCATGTATGTAGATAGAACAGAGTATTAATTTTTGAATAGAAATGTAAAAGATGGAAATGGCAATTCAATATGGATGTCATTTCCAATTATAGGAAAATAGGAAGAGGCAAAAGGCCACATATACAGATCAAAAGAAAGAAGTAATGCGATAAGGAGGCTAAAACCCACAAAGGATCTGGATTACAGTGTTAGAGCTTGTTCAAGCCATGCTGCTAAAATGAACTGTTACAATGGTACTTAACTCCATCACTGATCTTAAACCGTTCTGTGCTGTTCTCCCTCCGGATCCCAGCTTTGTACATCAAGGCAAGTTTTCACTTGTTTGGAAAATATAAAACACATTGTGCTTTAGGAAAAAGATGATAGACCAAACTCTGTGCAGATGAACCAGAGGTGATTTTAAAAGGCTTATTTGCCTAACAAAAGGAGTCTCAGCAGGCTTACTTTAAATAGTGAGCTTCTCTGACGACTTTAAGTGCTTATTTACAGATCATCAATTATGTGGGGTGTGTGGAGGGGAGGGAGAAGTTACTTAAACCAAGTAAATTATTAGGAGCCACTGGTATCAGGATCAATCTGAAAACAAAATATTGGTTTCCTTTCTCTTCAACAATAATAATACAGAAACCTATGGGAAACTTACTTTTAGAACAAAAACTGAATTTATACCCATACTTTTATGAAGAATTGAAACAAGGCAAAGAGTTTAATATTTTCAGGCTTTAAATCTCTTTTTTAAAGTAAACTTTTAAAAAGGAGTATGAAAGAGCCACAGTCCGGGGGGGCGGGGGGGGGGGAGAATCATGTCACAGAAGCTGTAATTTAAAAAATGAAGTGATCAGATAGAAACAATTTATAAAACACACCATGAAAAGTTTATTTTCCAAAGCCTTTTCTCCCAGAGTCATAGGTAAAACAGCAAGACAGGAGAACAGTTATTTTTGGCAGTCTTGGTGGTATAGCTTTCTCCAGAGGCAAAACGTAAAAACAGATAAGGGTCTCAGAGGACATGAAATGAAGGAAACCACCCACTGACTCTATTCAACTCAGTTTTCCCCACACAATTTTGATTTTAGAAACACAACGACCAAACATGTTATGGAATATTTAAGGATGACACACCACAGCAAACGCTAAGAACCACATTTCATCAACTGTTAGAAGCTGTTACCACTCTAGTTGTGTGCAAGAAAATTAGCCATAATTGGTTATGAGACATAAGTGTAGCACAGGAATGGGAATTGAGCAGACATTAAATTAATGGTGTTGGGAGAAGGGAAATGGGATTAATGAATGGTTGACATAAATTCCATTTTGCTATCGAGTTAATTATTAGTCTCATGAAAATTTATTTCCTGGCTAAGATTTATAACAGTGTTTTTCAATATTTTATTTCATTCTGAATAACTTCTAACTTTCATCATAATTTCCAGAATTGTACTAGCTGCAGAATTTATTGGTATACATACCTATTACACATTTGCAGACACCATCACAAGAATGTGGCAAGACTCAACTCAAAGGATAGAACCACACATTCAAAAAGGAAAGATAATTTTGATTTGACATATTGGTCATATTTTGGGTCTCATTAATGAATCAATGACAAGGTGATGAATTTGATGTCTGAAGAACAAATCCCTGTCTCAGTGTTCTGTTTCAGTCATTTACTGAGCCTGGCTTTAGTGAGAGAACTGGTAAAAGCATGCACCATGCTTGAGATTCTTGAGTGTTTCTGACTATTCAATTTAATTTTTGTACTTTGCATTATTATAGAGCTATTCTTAGCTATTTTTCCTTTGCTCATATTTTATCTCATGATATGTCAAATATGTCAAATTGAGGTAACTCTGGATTCATTCAATGACATCAGGGTTTTGTTTTGCTTTTTTTCTATTTTAGGGCCAGGGATTTAGCTCAGTGGTTCCACTGCCTGCCTTGCAAATGAAAGGTTCCAAGTTCAATTCCCAGTACCAAAAAAAAAGAAAAAAGAAAATTATTTTAAAAGTGCTTACCAAGAAACAAAGCATTTCTTGCTTATTTTTCATCACATCTAAACTCTTTTCTGCTACTTATGCTTTTGTACTTAAATGAATATTGCAGTAATTTTTAAGCAAAATAATTACTATAGATATTTATTTGGAAAAAACTAGTTTCTGAAAAATACATGAATCATGGTGAATTACTTAATGGGGGTTAAACTGGTGAATTTACAGTGACATTCATTTTAAACAATGAAATGGAACTAGGACATACTGATAACAAAGTCACTGGTGGACAAAATTTATAAAAACTGGTTTTATGGGTAAGACACATAGAGAGAGATTGAATGTTCAATGTTGTCAGACAAATGTGGAGCTCATATATTTTTGTTACAAAAGTATTCTTGACCTTATGAAGACAAATTATTTTAAAAACCCATTTCCATTAATACATTAGACTAACTGCTTTCATGTACTGTATTAACCAGTAAAGATATGTAATTTCTAATCATTTCAACATCTAAAATGACAAGCTTTACAATGCCTTTATTTAAGCCCTGTGTGAAGTAAAATAATTGTTAATGGTGTTATTTCCCCCCTTTCACAGATGTGGAAATTGATTCAAGGAGATTAAGTGACTTCCTAAGGTGTGTAAAGGTAAATACAAATTTTAAAAATACAAAAAAAATTAGTATATGTTGAAAAGAAGGAAAGATGATCTCCCTCCCACTTTTTCCTTAGGACATTTACTTTAGAAAATTGTACTTGTAAATTCTTTTCTGACTTTTTGAAATGGTTATAAATCTTGTAAAATGTTGGAGTAAGCCTCTTGCCAGCTTTACACCCCAGGAGTGTCTTTCCCAGGAAATCTGAGAACCATCCCTTTGAAATGTAATCATTTAGGAAGAGATGGTCCTTATCTCTCAGTTCTTAGGGAAGATGGGATACTATCTTCCTGCTGTTTCTTTCTCCAGGTTGCAAACTAACTCGTTTCATAGGGCTAAGTGTTTATTTTTCCTTGGGACAAAGCCAATTAGCTGATACAGTGAGTCACTCTAATTATCAAATGAATTAAAATCAACTATGGGTGACAAATTGTTGTCAAGTCCTGTCTTGCAGACTAGTTATTTTTTTTATCTTGAGAATGTGTATGTAGCCAGTTGTATGTGCTTAGCCACATTAAAAAAGGTATACTTAGTATGTGTTGAGCCCTAGACTCTACCCCAGCAACCAACCAAACAAACAAACATACAGGTAAGAGTTCTCTTTTTGTCTTTACAATCGCTTAGTGGATTGTCTATGCAGGTCACATCACATTCTGATTTAATGCTCATTCAATACTATTTTCTTTCCTTCGATGTTTGTGGTGAGGTTTTGGAGGGTGAGATTTTGTTTGAATTATACTTCACAAACAGGTGACACATATAATAAACAACAGAGATGAGATTCAAGATGTACCTCCCCATATGTCACAGCTACTAATCCTGGCATTAATGCCCATTCTATTTGTGCCTATGTTATTTCATTACTTTAAAAATATTCTCTGGCAATTGGACCCAAGTGAAAATCAAGTTGTTGATGTGGAGTCTGAGAAATAACAATTAACCATTTCAGAAATTATATCTGAATATTAGCTTCAGTTATACCCCTTATCATCACTTTTGAGTTATAATGTGAGAACAAACCAATTATAAGTACATACTCAGAACCTAGGGAGCCACAATTCCTTGAGCAACCCTGCTGAGTCAAAGTCAACAGAATGGGGCAGCTCAAACTAGGAATTAGTAGAGTTATAGCTGTCATTCTTATGTTTTAACTACTCATTACTATTACTATTATGAAACAAATTTATATCTCTTTACGGAGATTCTCAGATAATTTTCATGATTTACAGAGCAGATCTGGATATTTGTCCCATTTTGAATAGTTAAGACTCATTACCTCTTCAGGTTGATGTTCCATCTGCTAGAAAATCAATTTGGAGACTACATAAATTGGTATTTCATAGTTCTTAATGGGAGAACAAAATAATGGGTTCTCATTCAATGAAGGCCAGCTGGGGCACAGAAGGTGAAGGCCTCATTTGGATATTCAAATGCACCATCCATTCCCACAGCATCATCAATTTTTGGCAAATCAGCTATAAAAAAATCACTACAGTGAGCTACATAACTCATAACTAATAAATACTGATTATAATAATCAACAGCAAGGATCAATACAATGTTAGTAAGTACTAGTACCATATTAAAATTAGTGACTCAGACTCCAGGTGACAATAGATCCAAAGGACAGGAGAAATAACACCCAGAAGTAAATAAGTGACAATACACTATTACAGATCAACCCTTCCTCTTTTAAGGTTAAACATTTGCAAACATCACCCCTCTAGTTCACTTGGATTTCTGCTTTAAACAAGGGGTTTTTGAGCAGAGACACATATATACATATACAAACACAATTGTGGAGTGTATCTACAGGACAGTTTTAAGCAAGAATTTCCAGATCCTGAAACTCTGTAAGTATTAACATGTAAAATAAGTATGGTATGCCCCTGTGTTTTGTAGTTTTTTATCTTTTACTTTCACTCTTATTATCCTCTTATTTACCAAGAGAAAGACACAGTTCTCCCTTCTGCATCTTACTACAGTATATTGTTCTGAGGTATAATAAAGCCTGGATACTATTAAAAAGGAAAGTTGGATAACTAGGTTAATCAAAGAATTAGTATCCCCTCCATCAATCTGTAATAAACTTGCAAGAAATATATACTTTTATAATTATTCCTCAAAAGTAATTTGTTGTATTGCTCAATTGTATATTAATAATTAGTGTCACTATAGCTCAGCCAAGGAATAGCTTTTGAGCATTTATAACCTTAGCTTCAACAGCATTAAATACTTAGGAATAAATGTAATGAAAAACTTTTAAATCTACTAATTAAAGCCTATAAAAGTTTGCCAGGAGGAATTAAAAATGTAAATAAATGGTGAGATATGCCATGGTCATGGATAAAAAGACTCAGTCTTATTACAATGTCAGTAGTGCCCAAATTGATCTACAGAATGGAAGAAATCCCAAACAAAATCACAGCAGCTTGCTTTTCTGGTAGAAATTGACAATCTAATTCTAAATTTATATGGCAATACAAGGAAATAGAAGAGCCAAAAATAACTTGAAGATTAATAAAGTTGGAAAAATTACTCTATTGGATTTCAAAACTTACTAAAAACTATGTAATTAAGATAGTATTTTGTTGACATAAATATAGATAAAAAGATCAACAGAACCAAGTAGATTTCAGAAATTAACTTACACCCACAGTTATTTTTAATAATGATATCAATACAATTCAATACAGAAAAGTTTTTCAAATTAGTGACCCTGGATTAACTGAGGGTTAGAAGTCAATGAAAATTTTCAAGTGCTTTAGTATCAATTTCTCTGATAAGAAGAATGGGAACCTCAATGCATAAGGGACGAAGAATGAGGCAATGTTTGAAGATGTTATAAAAGAACTTATTCATACATTTTAAATGGATTAAATTATACTTTATTAATTAGATATACAATAATTTAAAACAGATAAGAACTTTATGTTACAATGTAAATATATACAATATACTAGTAATTGCATCCTTTACAAATGATTAGATTTAGAATACAATATTTTAGGAATTTACTTAAAAGTTTTTTAAGGAAATACATAGTTTTTCAAAAATTCTTTAAGGGATGCAAAAACTAGAGAACAAAAACCAGAGAACTATGGGCCAGGGATTTAGCTCAGTGGTGTCACCGCCTGACTCACAAGCTCAAGGTCCCGAGTTCAATCCCCGGTACCAAAAGAGAGAGAGAGAGAGAGAGAGAGAGAGAGAGAGAGAGAGAGAAACTATTATTATAGGCTTCATGTAAGCATTCATTTAATAAAAATATTTCGAGTGCCTATTATACTAAGCAGACACTGTGTGAGGCTGAAATAATAGTACGCCATAACTAATGATTATCCAGGCACTGTCCTAGGCACTTTGTAAACATGAACTGAATTCCTCCCCATATCACTCCCATTAAACAGGCTCTCAAACTATCCTGACTCCATGGATGATAAAACTAACAGTACAAAGATTCAAGATGTTGCCATAGTTTTCAAAGCTATGGAATGAGGAAAATCAGTTTTGGCTCCTACAGAAGCCACATTCATGAAGACTAGGGGGTAAGCAGCTCCATTTATCTTTAGGTGTCATGTGTAAAACTCAGTTTCACTTCTGTTCTTCCATAGCTTAAGAATGGCATATTTTACTAAATATCAAAAGGAAAATCAACTTTAGAAAAGGTGTCTCTTAGCAGAGTCCTGGATCAGGCAGCAGCCATTGACAATCCGTCAAAGCAATTTTTCAGTGGCATCTCCTATATTAATCAAGTTGATTATGAATTTATTTAAGACTCTGAGCCAAGAAGCCTGAGTGTCAAATGGGCAGATTTGACTAGAGGAATCATATTGACCTTTATGTTTTCACTTTTCAGGCATCAAAAATAAGAAAACCTTCAGATACTTTTTTTTAAATATTCTGCTATCATACCATTCCACTTGGAATCAGGGAGGAAGAATTGGCTCTGTTCATCCATCAATTAAGTCCTGTTTATAGATCCACTCTTTGAGTAACTCAATGATATATACTGTGAGAGATAAGGATATAACTAAGACCTCTTAGCCTCCATGGATGCACAAATAGAGGGAGCAATATGAACATAAACACCAAATACAAACAGACCAGGAAATGACTGAAATGAATCTGCAGAACATCATCTTATCATCTTCCATCCTTTCCTTCTCCTTGCTCAGTATTTTCCTTCCTTTCTTACCAAAAATTAGTGGTTTCAAATGCCTCCTGGAAAGGCAACTTTAAGGTAAACCTTTAGTGATGTGGGAGGATGAAAGAATATTATGGATTAAGCAAATAAAAACAACTTTGCTCTAACATAGCCATTAACTGACCTTTCACTTTGCCATATTTGAGCACTCCCCGAAAGTGCATATTACTTCTGGTTTCTGCCAGGTTACAGGTCGTCAGCCTGCATGAAGTTAACATTCCTAACAGTCATCATTTCTACCTTCCAGTGATCTCAGTTTAGTCCATAAATACCTAATGCCTTTCATGTCTTCTCACTATGCCTCTACCTTTCTGAGAAGATCCAAAGTACTTGCTGGTTTATTTAATACTTGAGACCAAAAAGTATATGCCATACAGAACCACCTGGCCTCCAAAGATTCTCAGTCTAGTTGGGAAGACTACAAAGAGATCCAGAAAAGATTTCCTAGTACAGATTATTGGTAACTTCTGAATGAATGGTAATGATCAAAATGCTTTGAGATTTTGTGAATGGTAAATCAATGACAGGTGTAATGACCCAAGAAGCTTTCATTGAAGATGCAGAATTTAGCAGGCACGTTTTAGTCAATGTTTCTGTTTCCTCCAACTCTTATCATCTGTTTCTCCCATAACAGTCTGACTTCTGTTCTCTGCCATTCTATGAATTAAAACATTGGTGTATTCTCCCTTCTGCTTGGTTTACTCCTGCAATGTCTGACCTACCATGGGTATAAAATAAACATTATTTGTATGAGAATTATTTGTGATATTTGAGTTGGAGAAAATCAT